ACATCCAAAAATGTACCAAAGTGTGGAGTGGTTTGGAACAATGCTGCTTGAAAATAATTATTATAGGCTAATTAAGGATGCGTTTATGTCCACTTTGAAAAAGCCCGAGTAAAATTATCTTCTCATAGTATTTGTTTATATTTCTCACTTGAAGCCTTTTGATACTACTATGGCAAAAACAAGAAAGCAGTGGAGACGACAATATATATTACCTTCATGCCAAAATAAATACATATTGAATGTAAGTCATTAAAATCCCACATCCAAGAAATTTTTTCGATTTCCAAAAAAATTACAGTCAAAAGCAATTATGGCAGAATGCCCGTGGATTAGCTTCCACTACAAAATTTGATAACTTCTATGTTTGTGAAGACCACTTCCTGCTGTCTGCTCATGTTTCCCTTCAGAATCCCTATTCACGTTTAAACTGTCTTGCAGTTCCAAAAGATGTTGGTCAAGTCAATCCATTAGTCATTCTGCTCTTGCAGTTTCCTTGATGGGATGCTCTGTTGGTTTCTCAGCAAGCATTTTTGGTTCTCCTTCAACTTCTGCGGCAAGACATGTAAACTGCTTGCCAAAAGAATTACCAAAAGACTTGACAGAGGTAAGTACTACTGATCACAATCAATGCTATTCTAAGTCAGATTTTGTGGTACAGACTCATTATCTAGACAAGTATACATTTCTGTCAGACAATTCGAGTTCATGACTTACACAATTGGGAATAAGTATTTCAGTTCATTGAAAGTCAACCTCAGTGGAGTTCAGTAATTCACAATTACGTAATGTAACTTGCAAACCTTATGGGCGCCGGGGGACATTAATTATAAGACTTTGGCTTTGTCAATTTATAAACGTAGTCTCCGACTGAATAAATACTTTAGATTTTATTTCCAACTCCAGGAACCTTAAAATCTCTCTTGTGAAGATTACTTTTGGCATCATAAAACCGGTTTTAGGACATCTTAAATTAAGAGTATCTAAATTAGATGAACTTGATCGGCACTGTACCCTCACCTTTGGTGAAATAAGCCTTGCCAAAGGACTTTATTTTCAAAGTAATCAAGACAAGATGTATGGCTTCGAAGGCTTAGGATATAAGACAACTGACAAGTTAGCTAATCATGCTCTAACTTTCATGAGACGAGGGAATCGAAAAGTTATAAGCAGGATGTTACCAGTGAAAGATACAACAAGTACCTCAGATCTGAGAAAGATTATAGTTGATGTGATCAAGCACCTGCAGGGAATTGTTTTGTGCATCATTGCCACTGTTTGTGCCACGAACAAAGCTGCACCTGAGGCACTTTGCTCGGAGAATACCTACAGACAATAGTCAATGATCACAGTCATTTTAATTTTAGAGATACATTTATAAAGATGAAAATTAAGATGTCAGCTCAATTGCTTAATCACACTGAAGCTGCATCCTTAGAGATATTTGTCATGTCAGGTGATATACCCACTGAAGGACTATACACAGCCGAATTTGTTCATCTAAATAATCAGATTGATTCTCTCAAGTGTTCAACTTTGAAGCCACAACATGGAAAGAAATTTCGATGTGTATTATCAGATGAATCGGCACATTTGCAATTTTGGGAGGACCTTTTGCCAAAAATCCAAAACTGGAGAAGATTAGACATTGATAATGGTTCCCAGCGTACTAATTTCAAGCTTCAACATGGTTGGCAGATCACTATAAGGGCTATTATTCATCTGTGGAGGAATTTGAATGCAAAAGGTTTTAAATTTTTGTCTTTGTGGAACTTAAACCAAAATCTCTTGGAACGGGACACTTTAGGTCTATTTGATATCATTAACATGCAAAAAGAAGGTGGAAGACAAGGACCAGTCGACCGAGGCGGTACCACCCTCTTAGCTTTTCTCAGGGTGTACTATAAATGAGTGTTGTGCAATTTGATGCAAATAGATGTTTGTGACATAACCTCAAAATAGAGCGCTGACACGGAGAAGTAGAAAACTATGACAATCAAGGAGGCCATAAAGGCGCCCTACAATTGTAGGGCGCGTAAGCCACATACACACAAGAAAACACCTATACTCACAAACCATAAAACTGAATAAGTGGGATCTAGATGTTAAGCTTATCTTATAAGAAGTACTGGTACAGGAAATCAATTTCTTCCGGAAGGTTCCTGAACTTCAGGTCTTACCACGAACTTAAAATAAAAATAAACCTGGTGAAACAAATGAAGAACAGGGTAATAAAAATCTCTGACAGTACTTTCCATCTTTCCAATTTAAGGAAGCTTTCAGTCTTATTCATCAACAATGGCTATCCGAAATATTTGGTTAACAGAATCTTGTTCAGCTCTCCTCCGAATATTGTGCCAATAGTGAATAACAATAGTAAAAATGACAACACTGTTCGGTCCAACTAGACGCCCATGCATTCTTCAACCAATGAGAATAACAGCACTACAGTGGTCGCACCTATTTCCAGAGTTAATTATGTTGTCTTGCCATACATCAAAGAACTAACACCAAAATTGATCAGGCTGTATAATTCCTTTAATTGTCGTTTTGCTTGTAAATCAGTGCTCTCAGTTTGTTGTCCAAAATGAAGGATAAGGTTCAGTTGCTTGATTCAACCAACACTGTCTATCGCATTAATCGCAACAACTCTAATTTAGTTTATATAGGCCAAACTTCGAGGTCACTGAAAGGCAGGATAACTTCACACAAAAGTAACTCCAGATTACATCCAGAGAGGTGTGCTTTGGCATCTCTTATTAACAACAAAATCACTCTATGAATTATGGCACTATTGAGGTTCTTGACAAAGAAAAAAGACTCTCAAAACGTTTATTTTTAGAAATGTCACACATTTTTATGACAGATCATTGCATAATAAAAAGGCTGATTTTAAGCAGCTTAGTGTCATGTATTCCTACCTATTGAATTACGAAAAGCTAGAATGGCTACATATCCAAATCGAACCAACGGCGTCCCAAAATTAGAATATATTTCCAATTGCTATCCTGGTAATTCAAATTTCTCACTCACAATCTTTAATATAAGCTCACATAACCCATCTTTTCAAGTGTGTATCACTATCTCACATTCGTACACTCATATGAACTACACATTTTTCCAAAACAAATTATTTCAGCATTTTAGTAATTTGGGTGGAGGTTTACCTAGCGCCCCTCGTATACTTCATACCCAAATTGGACAATGGGGCTTCCAGTTCCACGTTCCGTCGCGTCAATCACATGTGATCTGTCGACGCATTATCTTTCCGTTCCGTCCCCCTCTCCACGTGTAGCGGAAGTACGAGGTTAGAGACTGCATTTCGATTCTTTCCCTAAACTATCTTCTCATGTTTAATAATTTTTAATATGTTCGGATGTATTGATATTTTTAACATGTAACGAAGGTATCTGTCGTTATCAACAAGCCCAATGTCTCCGTCCTTTTGGTTTTATATTTATAACAAGTTCTATCTTCTCTACGTCCGTTTTGGAACACCTTGTGGCTACAACCTCTACGACGAGTAAGTTGTTTGACAATTTAAATCAGTCCTATGTTCGTTGCTAGCATCACAATTGTGTTTTCAGAATCCTGATGAAGGCTCCATAGAGGATGCCGAAAGCTTGATTTTATCATCAAAAGAGTCAACTTAAGCCTAAAAATTTGCCAATTTCCCAATTAACAATTAATTATATTTTGTGCCCAATTGGTCGTTGGCTAGGGCAATGACTACTGCTCACATATATATATATATATAACAAAAAATAGGAAAATATTGGGCAAAAGCCGCAAAAAGAAGGAAAGTGGGTTCGGGCAGAAAGTAGGATAGGTAACCCGAGCGATACGTATTTCTGCTGGTTGGCTACATCAGGCCCGAAATGAATTCACATATGCAACTACAAAAGTAGATACAGATGCCCATACATCCGGATACGGGTGTAACCTGAGGAAACGAAGATGGAGAGGGAAAAAAATCACACACAAAGTCCACACATCACAGCCAAACATTAATAACTGAGGCATAATGACGTACAACTACAAAACGAGTTCACAATAAGTGTTCATCAGCTAGTGCTAGGCTAACATCTTGTAGAAAAATCCACGTTATGTCAAAAAATGAACAATAAGTGTCAAAAAACCGACATAATGTCACTTTTCAAGATACATACCACCCGTGCCGCTCTGCCATGAGTACAAATATCTATACTTTCTCATTTATAACATTGGTAGGAATTTACAATAAGTTAATTGGACGGCTTTTTGCAGAAAGGAACCAACCCACAGTATGCCATTAATTAAAATCGTGTTTCGTCTGCAATGAATTTGTTATCTTTATCAAAACTTTAAAGCCTAAATTTTCAATAATTCTTTTTCTGGGTTGGTTTCTTTCTGCAAAAAGCCGTCCAATTGCAAATTCCAAAATGTTGTTTTTGAAAAGTCTAAACTCAAGGAAATTGGGAAACATCGTGCAAGTAATTTTGCTTCCGGACTAGGACCATCTTAGCTTTTGAGCCAAATAAAAAAGGTTACAATGTCGAAAAGCTCATCCTAAAATATTCAAGGTTCCGTTGACTTTAGATGTCAAACTCACAGACTGTTCTGAATTTCGCTCCATTTTATAAAGATTATATTATAGTGTTTAGTAGGTAGGGAGTAAATCAGAAAACCTAGTGGAATTGTGCAGATCCGTGAGACTGGCACTTTTGTTTTGGCATATTAAGTGGCATCACTTTCTTTTGTCAAATTGGAACTTGATTTTTTTTTCGTAAAGAAGTACATATCGCGCAGTACTAGAGCGACAAGCGGCCGTAATGCAGAGCCAATACCGACATTTTAATGACATCTCATATAATACTACTCTACAGTTTTTCTTACAAAAGCAACTTTTCTAGAATTCAGACAATATGCAATTCATTTAGCATTTCCAGAAAAGAAATACTCTGTTTTGATAATCACGTGTTTTTGTTATAAAAACTCTATTTTCAAATAAGTGTATGATATATTGATTCAAATATACATCCCATCTATCATTGATTTTCAATTTCATTTACCTCTGAGATTTAACTATTAAACATATTTATTAGGTATAATTATTTAAGTATGACGTACATTGACAAACATTTACAGTGTATAAAGTAAAACTGATACCAAAAATTGATTAATAGAAGCTTATAACAATGAGTGATAAGTTGATAAAAACTAAGACAATACACAAAAAGACAATCCTCGTTTCTTTGCTGCGTGGGGCTTCGATCCAACTGACATTTTGTTGTGATTTGCATCTATGTTTATTACCTGGAAATATAATATATTAGTGGAGTATTCGCTATGTACGTAGTGACCAGAATAATTCGGGAAGCGGGGCAATACGATATTTTTATGACAATTTTGGCTTGTTTTTTCATTGAAACCAAATAAAACTATACGGATGCGCTTAAAAAGGTTGTGGTGCATATTAAACTAAGTAATTTGCAAACCTGAACTGAAAATGATTGTCATTTGCATCCATAATAGATAACTTAGTCTTCCAAAATCAAATTATACAAAAAGGGAGGAAATTAGTGTTAGGACAGCAGCATGTAAGAGACATTGAAAAGCTTAGGACGAACGAACAAAGGTACTTAATAAGAGCTCTGATCATAAGACAAACGTGTTTGAAGTAATATTTTTACAAAACTGACTAAATGTGAGTACCTTGATTTATTGGCTATTTGCATATTTGCAGGTTTGATTGAGTTTTTAGCATATTTTTGTAACCTTTTGTAAGCGATTTTACTCTTGATAAACTATCTGAATAAATCCTCATTGGCAATTGGCATCATAATTTAACATATTTCATATCAAAATTTCTTATGCAGTGTATGAAGAATTTAAAATCTTCGAAGTTTTATTTAGATCATGCGAAATCCAGAACCGAGAACCTGTGAATCTGGTACAAACATATAGGGGCTTGACATTTGACATACTGTTGCCAAATTCAACATATACTTGAAGTTTAGGGAAAAAGTTCATGCTGCGCCTTTTGATCTACATCCACTCTTTCTTACAGAAAGTGTTGTGAAATCAAAGAGAGCGTCGTTGAGTGGTACACTACGCTTACAATAACTCATCGATTCACCGAACTCTGATATACTTCGTTATAATGTATACGTGTGGTGAATGTGTTAACAAGTTTATGCGGTCGGATAATTTACGTCGCCATGCAGGAAATATTTGCAAAATAGAACTCGAATCTACCAGTGGATCACAAGCTAAGCAAATCAAGCTGGATGGTTCACCTAAAAACATGGTTTGCCCATGCTGCAACATAACGCTTCCGAAAAATCGACTGACCACCTACACATGAACATTACAACACAGAACAAACTCAACGGTGCAAATCAGTGATGGTGGAAAACTTATCAAGAGCGCATTCAGATCCAGAATTGCCTGTTACAGATTCAGTTCAACAGAAGCATATAAGGACTTTAAAGATTTTTTCCGCAACATCCAACAAAATGTAGTTGAGGTTAAAGAAAAGAGCTTCGAGTATATAGAGCGTTGAAAGTGAATATGGAGGTGTTTGGAAAATATGTGTTACAGACCAAAGATGTGGTGGATATCAAGTCATTCAATACAACTAACAAAGTAATAGATGAGGGAGTAGACTTACCTAATGCTTACGAGCAGTTCACTGTCGAGATTATATCTCAGTCATCCGAGTTTGAAGAAAAGGGTTCTAGTAAGTTATTTAGATAACAGATTCAAATCTTGTAATTTTCTCAATAAAGGTGATTGTTATTATCGTCATTATCAAATTTAAGAGACTAATCATTCCTTTCGATTGTTTTCAGGATAGGCGATAGAAACTATTCTGTTTGCTAAAGTGAATATAAATGATTTTTTACCATTAGGAGGATCATCTTATATCAAGTTGTCACACTTTATCGAGGAAAAGAAGGCAGTTATAAACGTTGGTAATGAAGACCAGTGTTGTTTCACTTGGACTGTCAGATCTGCACTTCTACCAGCTCACGCTCACGCATCACAACCATCTTCCTACCCGAACTCCTCTAGAATCCTGAAGGTTGATGTAATGACATTTTCAGTTAATCTTAAAGACAGTTCTGTGTTTAAAAAAATAATACTATATCCATTAATGTTTACGGGCCCGAAAAGATAATTAAGAATGGTAATGTTACTTATGAAATAGTAGGTCCATTTAGATATGTTCAAAAGAAGTTGAAATTGCATCTGCTGTAACTAACCGATGTTAAAGTAAAACGGTCACTATTGTTGCATAAGGGATCTTTCACTTCCAGTTTCACATCAAATGAGCTTAAATGGACATAGGAGATATTTTTGTGATGGTTGCTTATTACCCTTTTCAACTGAAACGTTTTTGATATCCATCAAAGAAATGATTGTAACCATAATTACACAAAAACACCTACTGAGAAGCCACGAACTGATAAATATGGTAAAGAGGTTCCAGAAAACACACCTAAATTTGAAAATTTTAAGAAGTACATTTTGTTGTACATACTGATTTTGAATATCTATTAAAACCAATTAATAGTTGTGAACCAAATCCAGAACAGTATTACACAAGTGAAACCCACATATATGAACGACATTCATTTTCATGTTTAATCAAATCATCGTTTGATCCAGAAGTGGTAAAGTTTTTTCAAAGAAAGTATTTGCGGGGATATTAGTCAGGGCAGTGATATGATGCATGAGGCAAATAATAAATATTTACCGAACTACAATCCATCCAAAGAGTACATATTCATTTCATATCTCGATGTCACAAATCTTAACGGGCATGCAAAGTGATCGCTTTTTCCTACAGAAAATTTTGAATGGATGAATGAAGCAGAAATTTCTGCATTGGAATTAGAAAATGTGGAAGAACATGGCGAAGACAGGTATGTTTTAGAAGCTGATGTGCGTTATCCAGAAGCTTACACGATTCCCATAGTGACCTTCAGTTTCTGTTAGAAAGTATGATCCCACTTAATACTAAAACGAAAATTCCTGAATTAATACCAAACCTATATGATAAAGAAAAATATGTTGTACATTATCGTGTGCTCCATCAAGTCATATAGTACGGTCTGCAAGTAACCAAAGTTCACAGCAAAGCAATCGGCATGGTTGAAAAGAATATATTGACCTTAACACAAGAATGAGAAATAAAACAAAAAGTACATTTTAGAGGGACCTTTGTAAGTTACTTAATAATGCGATTTTTTGAAAAACGATAGTAAATGTGGATAATAGAAGAGAAATAGAACTGAAAAATTCACGTAACAGCGTTGGTGTGGCACCCTTGATAGCGCATCCAAATTTCAAAAGTTGTTCCATATTTCGCAAAAATTTAGCAGCAGTTCACTTCGGAACCATAAAAGTGTGTTATTTTAAGCCGATATATCTAGGTTTTTATATATTAGAATTATCAAAGATAGTAATGCATCAATTCTTCTATGGATTCCTCAAAAATCATTTCCGTCATAAAATATCTATGTTGTCTTGTGACACTGATTGGAACATTCTAAAAATACATACATAATTCGCAAATTCATTAGAAATAATGTCAAGGAATTTAACACATTAAATTATAACCAGAACATTGCATTCAGTATTCCAGTAAATCATTCGGTCCTCGGCAAAATGAAAGATGAATTTCCAGCGGATCCAATAGCCTCACCAAATTCGTTTCCTCAGGTGACACCCGTATCCGGATGTATGGCCATGTGTATCTATCTACCTTTGTGGTGGCATATGTGCATTCATTTCGGGCCTGATGAAGCCAACAAGGATAAATACGTATCGCTCGGGTTACCTATCCTATTTTCTGCTCGAATCCACTTTTCTTCTTTTTGCGGATTTTGCCCATTATTTTCCTATTTTTTTGTTATATACCTCTCTCTGCATGATCATTTTCTCTTTGTAGACCCTTTGGGCTTGAAATACCACAGCAAGTGGCTATAACCGGCCGCATGATTGTGGTTAGATGTCGCCTTGAAAATGAGAGACTAGCCATTTTATACTACAATGTGTAGGTTGGCTCTTGTTGTGGACTTCGTGTGTGATTTTTGCCCTCCCCATCTTCGTTTCCCTAAGTTACACCCGTATCCGGCAGTCGTGAGTGAACGCTCGTCATAGACAGACCTCTTTTTGTGTGAACTAAAAAAAAGAGGTCCCCAATCTATGTGTTGTGACTATCTCATAAAGGTTATAATTATTTTCTATTATATTTCTGTTAGAATATACAGTCATAATGGTTGGTCTTTATAGGATATGAGTAGAGTTTTTGGTAACCATATCCGGTAAGTGATATGGTTACCAATAAAGGTGACGAAATTGATCTTTCTAGATTCGATTTCAAGAATGCTTCTACAACAACAGATACGTGCGCATTTTTCGTATATATCGAACACAAAACAAAAAAAAACATTGGAAGACTGTTGTTTCAGCAAGAGCCAGAATTGGAGAGACATTACAGATATAAAAGCAGTAGGGAAGACAAGGGTCAAAGTGATATTCAAAACATTTGCAATCGCAAACTCACTTATCAACCATCAATGTATTACCAATAATAACCTAGTTGCAGATATTCCAATCCCTTTCAACCACAAAAAGGTGTGATAAAAATGGTTGACAAGTACTTTACGGGAGAATTTTTGAATGAAAATATTGTGTCTAATCTTAGCATTACCGAAGTGAAACGTATGATATGAAAAGGAAAATAACTCATTCAGATGGTACTATAAAATACGTAGATAGACAGATGATAATTGCCACCTTTCTGGGGAACAATCTCCCACAAACGATTCGAATCAACATGTGTGTTTTTGAAGTGGAACCATATTATTATACAGGGTGTCCCGCGAGGTAAGGGACAAAATTTTTCTACGTATTCCTCAGGTCAATTCGAGTGGAAGTCCTATGAATATGGGTCCGGAAATGCTTCCTTATCGAGATAATGATTTTTTATTTTTAGGGTGCTAATGGTGGGAAAACCACAATATTGTTGAAAAATTACTTTTATTCAACACAAGATTACCAGGTATAATAAAAATAACTATTCATAATAGTTATTCAAAGTATCCACCTTCACACTGTAAACATAGTCGAGCCCATTTAATAATATGACTGGTGGCTTTCACAATAACAGGACGATTAGTCCTTATGTCTCCAGCGACATCAGTTATTTTACGGAGCAGTTCAGCCCTGGTATGCGATTTCTCTGCATACACTAAAGACTTCATATGTCCCCACAAGTAATAGTCCAAGGGATTTGAATCGGG